CTTGGCAAATCTCGATCCATTCCGAGAAATTTTAACACCCGCTCATGAAAATAGGCAAAAGGGGGCGCCGGAGGACGTAGGAGTGTCGGATTGCAAAACGGACAACGGGGAAAATGCTCGGATGCATGAGACGAATACGTATGCAAATGCAATGCACATGATGACATGATATGAAATGCATGACATGGACAAAATGCAAAACGAAGACAAAACCCAACCACGAAGGAATCTCATAACTTAAAGCCGGAAATCGCAAGAGTCAGAGTACAAATATGGCAAATTACATCCGGGGCGTTACACCAAGCAAATGAAGTTGAGGTGATTGTTAGTGACAAAGTAATTCAAGAGGGTGGTGATGCTCATGGTGATGACGATGAGCAAGAGGAAGGTTTTCATGGTAATGATGATGGCAACTTCGATGCCTACATAGCGCAAAAGGACATGGATCGTGAGTTACCTTTTAGGCGTGTATATGGGTATGACTCGGACGACAAAGGTTCGGAGGAACAATTGGACGAGGATTGGTTCACGAAGGATAAAAACCAATTTTACTTTGAATTGATGGGCTTAGAAAAAATAACTCACTTGTCTCAAGATCTCAGCCTTGCCCATAAAGCCGTAGTTGATGGTGCATGAGAATAATGGCGATTGAGCCAACACCATGCCCGGATCCGCGCCAACCTAGGGAGGAGAACGAGGACGAGCATGCTTATTTGAAGAAAGGAGTGAAGTTCCTAAGTTTGGCTGGGATGAAGGTTTGTTTGTATGACTATGTCATTCAGAACCATAGGCCATATTATATTGAGCACTCCGACAAAAAATTGCGTTACACCGTGAAGTGTGAGCAAGGAGGATGCCATGGGCGGTTCATGCAAGAAATCTTGAAGAAACTAGAGAAAGGGTGTTAAAAAGTTGTGTAGCCACTCATAGGTGCAAAACCGCCATCGAAATCACTTCGTAAGACACACCGTTAGCTCATGTCTGAGTATCTCGGATTAAAATTTATGATAGACATAGTCGTTGATTCCATTGTCAAAGTGAAATTTCTCATGCGGATGGTGAAAGGATCGATATGTTGACTAGAGGGGGTGGGGGTGGATAGGCAACTACCAAATTTTAGCTTTTCTTGTCAAATTAGGTTAAGCAACAAATAGGTTGTCTAAAGTGATGCTAATAACAACACAAGCAAGCAAGCAAATGATACATCACAATACAAGCTTGCACAAAGTAAAGGTAAGAGACAACCACAAGTGGAGCTAGTGAAGACGAGGATGTGTTACCGAAGTTCCTTCCCTTGAGAGGGAAGTGCGTCTTTGTTGGAGCGGTGTGGAGGCACAATGCTCCCTAAGAAGCCACCAGGGTCACCGTATTCTCCTCACGCCCTTGCACAATGCAAGATGTCGCTATTCCACCAGTGGTGCCCTTGAAGGCGGCAACTGAACCTTTACAAACAAGGTTGGGGCAATCTCCACAATTTAATTAAAGGCTCCCAACACCACCACAAAGCTTCATCATAATGGATTGTGGCTCCAAGGTGACCTCTTTCGTCTATGGTCCTCAAATACACAAGAGTAACAAGATCCGCAAGGGATTAGTGGGGGAATCGAATAGCTCTTGGTGGAAGTGTAGATCAGGGCCTTCTCAACCAAACCCTAGAAAATGAACAAGATTGGTTGGCTAGGGAGAGAGATCGGGCAAAAATGGAGCTTTGAGCAACAATGGAGTTTGTGGAAGAAATAGGTGAGTCTTCTTGGGGAAGAAGACCCCCTATATATAGTGAGGACAAATCCAACCATTTTTTGTCCACATCCCGCACACAAGAGGTACTACCGTTATGGGAGTGGTACTATAGCCCGGGCGGTAGTTCCATACCTAAGTGCATGGGCAAAGTGCCCCAAGGCGGTAGGGCCGCCGAAGCGGTACTACCGCTCACCCTAGTGATACTACCGCCCAGGGTGCTTTAGATAGGAACTAGAAGTGGTAGGGGGAGTCGGGCGGTAGTACCGCAGCAGCGGTACTACCATCGTCCTACTGCCGCCCTACTGCCGTTCAGTGGCAAACTAGTCCAGAAGCCAACGATTAAGCGGTAGTGGCAGCGGTTTGGGCGGTAGTACCGCTTACTAGCGATACTACCGCTCTACAGGCGCTCCACTTCCGCTTATGTTCCTGAGCTATGGCGAGATCAGTGGAGGTGGGGCTGTAGTTGAGTCAGAAGTACCGCAAGCGGTACTACCGCTCTACTTCCAGTCAACTACCGCTGATCACGAAGAGGCAACAGAACGCAATGAATAAGCGGCAGAGGGCGCGAAACTGGATCAGCGGCAGTACCGCATGAACGGTACTACTACTGCCCAGAGCGGTACTACCGTTGCCTCAAGACTAGTTCCGAGAAGCACAGAGGATGCGGGAATGGAAGTGGGTGCAAATGAAGATGTATACATGATGATTCCACCCAAACCTTTCCGATACGGACCCCCTCTTAATAGTACGATTTTCCTATGCCTCAAGTCCACCAAAAGGAAATGCAGAAAAAATAATTGTCTTCACTCTATATCTTCAAGGGGCTCGAAATGTCTTGTGCCATATGATAGATTATCTGAAATGCTCAATGCACACGATTAGTCCACAAATGCATTGTCATCAATCACCAAAACCACTAAGGGAGAAATATGCCCTAATAGATGGTGAAAAAACAACTTGGTTACGAAGTCAGGTATGGGAAGACATGGAAGGCCAAGGTAAATGCTATTATGATGTTGTATGGTGATTACGAAGAAGCATACAACCACCTCCTGAGATTGTTGGCAGCGATTGCACATAGGAACCCGGGCAAGCATCATGTGGTCGATGATAATGACGGAGTTTTCCACTGTGCCTTCTGGAGTTATGGGCAATGTGTGGCGGCATTTGAGCATTGTCGCCCGGTCTTGTCTATAGATGGCACCTTCTTGACCGGTAGATACAAGGGCATACTAATGTTAGCAATGACGCACTCCTCCAACGACAATGTGTTGCTAGTGGTATTTGCTCTGGTCCCTTCCGAGCGCCAAGACAACTGGAGTGGTTCATGGGTCATTGATGAGTCCAATTTATGTGATAATTTCACTAAGTATTTTGTGTCTGCATGGTAGGATTTGTGGAATTTTATCGCGTTCGCGCACCTCTTTTTGTTGATAATCTCCCATGTAACGCCTTTTGGACCATTTAGCAAAATATGGAAGAAATCCCCAGAAATGGTAGTGGAATCACCTATTTAAAGTGATAATCACCTACCATAAAAGAATCAAGCAGGAAGGTTAAAGAAGGAATCATCGCCGCGCTTCCAGAGCAAAAGATGGCGTTCCATTCGACCGCGTCCGCTCGCATGGGCGGTCGTATGGAGTGCCAACGCCGCCGCCGGATCGACTACTTCCACCCCGTGAAGTCAGATCAGGAATCAGACGCCGAGAGAGACCAGAAACTCGTCCAAAAGGCGGAACCCTAGCCTCCGAAGTTCATCCGGTGGAGGGATTGGCAAGGAGAAGAGGGGCATCTTCTTCCTCACGCCCGAGGGGCCTACAACATCATCACCACTGTCATCGTCATCATCATTCTTAACACCGGCATCGTCATCATCATCGACATCCTTACCATTGTAACATAAAGAACCCTAGTGGATCATTTTGTGTGTTATCCGAATCATGCATCCATGTTTGCCATCACCCAATGTTGAATAATGCAACCAAAAGGAGATGTTCTAACCAAAACAAATTGGAGGGAATGGGGGAGAATACCTCAAGGATGTTTGGGGTGCTCAGATCCACAAATTTGAGTGGAGGATGAAGTAGATCAAGGGGCGATTTAGTGTGGAATGACCTCATGCACGCAGCTTTGATTCGTACGGGCTCATACTGGTAGCATAGCAGTGATTATTGTCTAGATAAGAGCAGACTTACTCTTGATGATTTGTTGTACTCCCTCCATTTTTGTATACAAGGCCACTATGAAAAACACATTTTGCATCTATACAAGGCCACCAACATTAATCAAGTCAAATACTAATGATATTTCCTCATACTAGTAATCCATGGCTTAATTACTAGCATGCATGTAGTGAATGATAATGACACAGTCACCTACTTCCTCTCTCACAGCCACTCGGTCTTCTCTAATGTGCATGCACCCTATTAATTAACCCGGTAAACGAGAAAACAAATTGGCTTGTAAACCACACATTAATTTTTATCTTGGTACCTGTAATTTGAGTTTGTGCCTTGTATATAAAAATGGAGGGAGTAATATTTTGGTGAGTGCTATCGATGCAGCGGCTCCCCCAAACTAAGCACATGAGCACAATTACCAGCATTGGAATGAAATAACCTTTGAGTGAGGCGGGAAACCAGCTACTCAAAGCGGTGAGTACCAGTGAGCATTTGTGTAATGTACGTACTAGCGCTGCCACAGTGCCATCAGTTACAACAAGCCATCTTTGGATCATGTCTTCCTGCGCCAAAACGATCTGAAAACGCCAGTAGTGTTTCTTCCGCCATAAGAGCGAAACCAGTACCACCAATGGAAGTAGTGCCATTTGGCCCAGCTCGCACCTGCCATCGCCATGTGAACGAGCCCACATCTCGCAGAGAAAACTGAACTGCTCTAAAAGAAACGATGTCTTCTTGAGTGAGCCCAAAATGATCTTCAAACGCCAGTTTTCCTCACACTAGTAATGGAAGCAGCGCCATTTGTTTGTCAAATCCTCAGCTCCCACTTGGCAGTTGGCACTGCCATGTGAACGAGCTCGCATCTCGCAGGAAAACTGTTCCGTCTCATTCTCGGGGGAGGGAAAGAGAAACCCATGGCCCGTCTTTAAAAGCAGCGCTCCAGTGCCAACTACAATGGCAGAGCGGGCAGAGAGGAGAGGTGGCCGGTAGCCGGTAGCCGGTAGTTAACCAGCACTGGTGCTCTGCTCCGGCTCTTCTCTCCTCCTCCTGCGCACGCAGAGCACGCTTGTTCTCTCGCTCATGGCAGCTATCCTCCGCTGCTGCCTCCTGCTGGCCCTGGTGGCCGGCCTGCTTCTCGGCAATGCCGCCGCCCTGCCGCACCACGGCCCCGCCAAGCACGACTACCGGGACGCGCTCACCAAGTCCATCCTCTTCTTCGAGGGCCAGCGGTCCGGCCGGCTCCCGCCGTCCCAGCGCGTGTCCTGGCGCCGGAGCTCCGGCCTCTCCGACGGCTCTTCCGCCAAGGCGAGCACCTCCGGCCCTTCTTGCTGCATTTCCCCTGCATTGCGTTTCGTTCAATGGCTGACATGTTGTTGGGATGTGTTGTTTCAGGTTGATCTGACCGGAGGGTACTACGACGCCGGCGACAACGTCAAGTTCGGGTTCCCGCTGGCGTTCAGCTCGACGATGCTGGCGTGGAGCGTGCTGGAGTTCGGCGGCATGATGAAGGGCGAGCTCCAGCACGCCCGGGACGCCGTCCGCTGGGGCGCCGACTACCTCCTCAAGGCCACCGCCCACCCCGACACCGTCTACGTCCAGGTCCGTCCCTCATTCCGGCACTGTTCATTGATGCATGGCTGGAGCGGGTGCTCGTCACCGCAAAGTACAAACCCATGTGGACCGGACCACTCCTCAACTCACTGTGAGCGTGACCGACTGTCGCTGATGCCAGGTCGGGGACGCGGGCAAGGACCACGCGTGCTGGGAGCGGCCGGAGGACATGGACACGCCGCGCACCGTGTACAAGGTCGACCCCAGCACCCCCGGCTCCGACGTCGCCGCCGAGACCGCCGCCGCGCTCGCCGCGGCCTCCCTCGTCTTCCGCAAGTCCGACCCGGCCTACTCCAGCCGCCTCGTCGCCAGGGCCAAGAGGGTACGTACTCCTCCGCTGTCCACACACCACATCCACCATTGCCTCTGCTGCATCTTTCTCGCCGTAACGCTAGCTAGCTGCTCTGCTCCGCGTAGGTGTTCGAGTTCGCTGACAAGCACAGGGGCGTGTACAGCGCCAAGCTCTCGTCCTACGTCTGCCCCTACTACTGCTCCTACTCCGGATACCAGGTAGGGTCCCAGCTGCTGCCACCATTATTGTCTTTTTTCTTGCTCTGCGCTGCTTTTCCTCCATTGGCCGGCTCCACAGACCTGTGAGCGAGCGAGCATGGGCGCCAGCGGCGCTCTGCCCTATGCTCGCCGTCGTCTCGTCTGCTTTTCCTCCTCTCGTGTCGTGCCGTTGGTTTGTTTAATGGGAGGGACCGATGCATGAATGACTGGATGGGAACAGGACGAGCTGCTATGGGGCGCCGCATGGCTACACCGGGCCACCAAGAGCCCCGTCTACCTCAGCTACATCAAGGTGAACGGGCAGCTGCTCGGCGCCGACGAGCAGGACAACACCTTCGGGTGGGACAACAAGCACGCCGGCGCCCGGATCCTCCTCTCCAAGTCCTTCCTGGTGCAGAAGCTGGGCGCGCTGCAGGAGTACAAGGCCCACGCCGACAGCTTCATCTGCTCCATGGTGCCCGGCACCCCCACCGACCAGACCACCTACACCCGGGGCGGCCTCCTCTTCAAGCTCAGCGACAGCAACATGCAGTACGTCACCTCCAGCTCCTTCCTCCTGCTCACCTACGCCAAGTACCTCGTCTCCGCCAAGAAGACCGTCTCCTGCGGCGGCGTCGCCGTCACGCCGCAGCGCCTCCGCGCCATCGCCAGGCGCCAGGTCCGTCTCTCTCAGCTTCTTGCATTGCATTGACTCTCCATCAATCCATCATCGTCGTCGTCGTCAACAGAAGAGCAGAGCAGAGCAGATCATCATGTTGCTTCCTGTATGTGATTGCAGGTTGACTACTTGCTGGGGAGCAACCCGATGGGCATGTCGTACATGGTGGGGTACGGCGCCAAGTACCCGAAGAAGCTCCACCACCGGGCCTCCTCGCTGCCCTCCGTCGCGGCGCACCCGGGCAAGATCGGCTGCTCGCAGGGGTTCACGGGGCTCTACTCCGGCGCCGCCAACCCGAACGTGCACGTCGGCGCCGTCGTGGGCGGGCCCAACCAGAACGACCAGTTCCCCGACCAGCGCAGCGACTACGAGCACTCGGAGCCGGCCACCTACATCAACGCGCCGCTCGTCGGGGCCCTCGCCTACCTCGCCCACTCCTCCGGCCAGCTCTAGCCTAGCCGCATTACCGGTCCCAAGATGAGATTCTTCGTTGCCTTGATTGTTCCGGCGATCTAATTGATCGCTGTGAAGTGATCCGGAGACCCCAGTGCAAGCAAAACAAGGGCACGCGCGCACTAGTGGGTCTTGATTTATCCTTCCTACTACTACTTACTTCTTTAGGTGTTGAGTACAAGTGCTAAGTACGTACGCCCAACTGTGGTTCATGTACTGCTGCCGTCGTTGTTGCAACTCGCAACTCGTTGTGAAATCAAGTCTTTGTGTCAAGTGATTCTACTCGATCCTTGCTTTGGGCGGTTGCTGTAATGTGCAGCTCTGTTTCATTTGGTTTGTTGCACTATCAAGCATACACACACTAGAGTAGAGGTTATCATCGTTAAGACCGGTCAATGGCTACAAATCTGGCAGGTTTTAGCTGACTTTGTACTCCTGTAATTAAAAATTGACACTCTTAACAGCGAAGAGTATCATTCACCGAGAAGACGACAACCATACATAGCCAGAGGAGCGGTCAAGATGAACGAGGTGTACAACCGAATAACTGAAACGCAGCGCTGATCTCTTGGGTGATCCACATGGACATGGCAATGACGACTCGCTGTACCTCCTAGCATAATTGCCCAACTGTAGATGCTCCGCCCTGACGTCCCGCCACATCCATTTTCTTTTATTTTATCTATGTACTAGCGTATAAGTATAACTAAAAGGATTTACTATTTCATAGGAAACTAAGATAAGAAATCCAGCCTACTCCAAATGTGGAGACTAGTCTGGACGTCCAAAACACCACAAATCGAAACCAAACGAGGGAGATTTGAAGGAGTCCCGAAATAAGCCATCTCGGACTCCGTCACCCTCGGCTTACCCAACCTTCTGCTCTCTCACCCAGAAACCCCTCTTCCATTGCCTCCGCCCGCTCTCTTCGACGCATTCAGACTAACCGGTCATCCGCTTGCCATGCGTCCACATCGATGCGGCAACCGAGAAGCTTAGGGCCTGTTTGGTTCCAATAAGTCACCCGACTTATAAGTCAGGTGACTTAAAATTAGTGACTTATGAGTCACGCCTGTTTGGTTGTCACCTGACTTATAAGTCACCTGACACATCCTCCCACACCAATCAACATCATGCAGATGGTAGGACCCACGCAAAAGGAGGTGACTTATAAGTTTTAAGTTGGGGTGAAGCAACTTATGACTTATAAGTTGGGGTGACTTATAAGTCGGGTCTGTTTGGCAAAATAAGTCACTTTTTCCACTTTTCAACTTATAAGTTGGTGACTTATTTGGAACCAAACAGGGCCTTACTTCGGCCACCCGCACTCAACCCGACGCTCTGCATGCCTGGGCTATTTAAAGTCGCCCGACAACTCTCCAAAACCCTACCGCTCACCTTCTCCATCCGTCCTAGCCGCCGGCTGACGATCCCACCATTGTCCGTCGCCCTCCATTGCAATGATTGGGGCTTCTTGTGGCTGTTGTATTTCCCTATCGTTGCGGCATCGCGTTGAGATCGAGGTCGAGGTCCATGCTGCAAAGGTACAGGCCAACCTCCGAGCTCTCTGAAGTAGAGCTCGAGCGAGTCGGAGATGAAGGAGGAGGAGGACGACCCCATGGCGATGGCGGAGATTGTCATGAAGGAGGCGGAGGACGAGGAGCATGTGCCGCACTGATGCAGGAGCCGCCGACTTCTGTTTTCACCCTGCTGCAGGCGGAGCAACACTACAACCGGGTGCCGGCGGAGGCGGAGCAAGAGAAGAAGGCGTCGCCGGTTTTCGTGTTTTGCCTGCTGTAGCAGAAGCAGCGGAACAACCCGACTCTCCTCGAGGACCACCGACTAGCGTAGGACCAACTCTAGTTTCAGTGATGCGGGCATCCGAAGATGCCGTTGCAGCCATGGTCACGGCGAATTTGGGCCTCGTCGGTGAGCAGCGGGAAGTGCTCGAATCCTCACACAACGGCCACATCATCTGCCGTGAGAGCTGACAGCTTCGTCTCAACGTGGCGGAGCGCAACCCCCTCTTCAATGTGTTAGAGGCGGCGGCCGACGACACCGAAGTCGACAACTCCACCTCATTTGTGCCGTCCCGCATCAACGACGAGGTCATACCGTCCAATGCGGGGATCGTCCACCTGACCTCCACCGGTGACAAATGACGGCCAGGTGGACTCCAACGGGGAGGGGTAGAGTAGTGCGTGGGACACGCTAGAATCCTGTGCTTTTGCTATGTACAAAATGTTCTAAAATGTATGAAAATTGTGTCCTCTTTTATTCGGTAGAGTTGGATGACATCCACCCCATCATTGTCACGACACATGACACATCCGAACGCGTCCGCGGACATTTGACGATGTTCGTTTTGGTAATCCGCATTCAAGTTGCTCTAAGATGCATCAATGTAAATCATACTATCTAAACATCCAACATGCACCAGGAGGCGATGTCAGGAAGGGGCCTCAAAACAAATGAATTTGCCGCCAGGAAAGAGATCCAATCCAAGATTGGATCAGGCTATAAAAATGCCTGAAACCAGAGATCCATCATCCAGTCCAGCTACACCAGCTGGTATATTCTTTCACAGGACTCCATCCCCAATGATCCAGGAGAGAAAGTACAAGCATCTCACGTGAAGCTGTTCAAAGCAGCCGCCCGTGCCATGTGTTCCTGAATCCAGTGGATATTACAATAACTTCGAAACAGATATGTGAATCTTTTACCCTCGCAGCTGCTATTATATTATCATAAAATGCGCTGCAGTTTAGAAAGTTAACTGGACGCATTTTCGTCAGCTAAATGCGTCCAGTTGTAGGCTCCTCTGCTGAGCAGAGATCACATGATGGGCGCATGCTTTCAATGGCAACGTAACGTGCGCCTGACAAACCTTCTATCCATCACCAAGTAATATATGCTCCAAATCGGAAGTACCACAGTGTTTGTAGGACTGCGCTGGACAGTCAGTCACCGCGGCAATACCGGGAGCAGTAAACTATCACAGAAACCATATTTGCTCTGATCAATCGCTCTCCTCTGAGACCGGCTTCCCGCCATGTTCAATCTTCTCCTAGCCAACGTCGAGTGCCGAAAACAAAGGCCAGGTCAGTTGCGGTTTCTACACTAGCTGTAGCTACCCGGACCAGGCAAGAAGCAGCCCTGATGTGTTTTAACTTTGCCTGATTCTTCTGCTCGTACGTGTGGTACGTATGCAGCAAGCAAGTTGGAGTATATTTGGTTGATTCTTGGGGGCCACGAAGTAAACGGCATAAGGAAATTGGAGGGGCATGTCAGAGGATAAGCACGTACACATGGATGTACTTATGTGTGTTGGGAGAACATGGGATGCCATTGGGTGGAGTGGTCACTCCTGGTCAATTGGTAAATGCATACTTGGTTCACGGTTCTGAAAACATTGGGAGAGAAAAACACATGAATATGATAGAAATGCAGGTGCAAAACGGTAGACGGGAAAAGACCAAAAATAATAATCAAAATTGCAAAAGGAATTGATTCGGTCCGAGACACCGTTGTACTCTAACCCAAATTGTAAAAGGGACCGTGGTTGTCTAATCTCTGTGACCTCTGTACTCTTGCTATTGACCCCATTGAAGGGTGAGAACATACGGAGGATCCGACATGCAACCCCTTCCAAGAAAAGTACAAAAAACTAATAAAAATCTCAAGCTTCCAAGGTGTTATATCGCAAGATTGGGAGGGTTTGGTGCACTCGGGTAGGAAAGCCGCTAAGGAACCCGCAAACTCTCGAATACTAGGTGGGAAACTCGATTGATATGGATGCATGAGAGAGTTAAGTAGGATATGCGTGCTAGATATAGGTCACGCATGACAGTTCACGAATCCCACCGCATAGGTTTATTACATTGGATGAATTAAGTAGTGCCATGGATAGAAGATCCTACCCATTGCCTATAGGATGAATGGGAGGTGAAGCGTACAAATCACACCCCGCACCATAGAATGGGCTAGCCCCGTAACAACACCACAGACATTTCAGCGGTCGTTCTATTGGGTTTTACATAAGTTCTTCTCCCAATTTTAGTGTTTTTTTTCTTTCTTGTCTTTATTCTATTTATTTTGTCCTTCTCTTTTTTCTCTTGTTCCCTTAAAACTTCCATTTTTTTTTTCATTTTTTTGAACATTTCTAAAAGATCTTGAATATTTTAGAAATGCAGGAACATTTTATAAAATTCATGAACATTTTTAGATGTTCAAATCATTTTTATTATAAGCTTTAACGATATTTTGTATAAACTTGGAGATTATTTTTTGAATATTTTTTATTCCATAGTAATACTTTTCAAATCTCTCAAAATACATGAACCAAACCGGGTCTTTCCACTTTATCTCCTTCGGTCATGCCTGGGGGCACAACACTTGTCACGGTTGATCAACTTATTGACTCAGAAAACTGGACATGGAGGCAAGAGTTGGTCCGACATTTTTTTATCCCACCAGAAGCCGAACCTATCCTAAACATTCCTTTGCGCCGTGGTGGTGGTGATGATTTTCTCGCTTGGGCCCATGAAAGAAGTGGTATCTACTCTGTGAAATTCGCGTACCGTGCTCTCGTGACTCGGAAAGAGCGTGTTGCTCTAGAGGAAGGGACGGTGACCAATACCTCACAGACCGATGAACAGATGTGGAAACTACTATGGAAGCTCAAGGTTTTGTCAAAGGTGCGTGTATTCTGGTGGCGGGTTATCCGTGGTATTCTACCCGATGAATGCACCCTTCGGCGCCGTCATATCAAAGTCATCAGTAGATGCAATATTTGTCTTGCGATGGATGAGGTTTGATGCACGCTTTAGTGCACTGCTCTCATGCCAAGATGTTTTGGGATCAAGCGCATTTGATGTTTGGCATCCGAAGACCTCGTTTGCACCCAAATACATGGTCTCGTGATATTCTATGTGATGGGCATTTCTCTGACAGCGAGAGGGCTGTGATGATCTCGGTCATGTGGTCTATTTGGCATTCAA